TTATCTTCTTTTTCAACCACACATTACACATCATAACACTATTCAAAATCAATTCTTCCCCCAAAAAATCCCTACCAAACACACACAATGCCAGATAAGAGTGTACCAACAAGTGTACTGAAATCTAATTTCATATTATATAAAATTTTGAGAAAAATATGAAGATATTTTCATCTAATGTTAGCAAGGTGACAGCAGTGAAGAAATTTGGCAAAAAAATAATGGGTCCCACAATGTAATGTGAGTCATGTGTTGTCAGGAATGGGCTTAGTGGGCGGGAAGTCTGAATCCAAATGTGGGGGTCCAAGAGTTTGTGGATGATGTTAGCCTCCAGCTCAATTTGGGCCTTTCAGTACACGTGGGCACGTATTTTATAGTCTTAGTCAGCTTTCTATACTGCCAGGTAAGCATGTCAAATCCAAAATGTATAATTTTGCTATAATAATTAGAACTCTGCTTCATGTACAGAAGCAGAATGACTAGAACACTCATAGTAGGGGGTAGGGCCCCTACCATAGTGGTGGTTTATTTTTTTCAATATTTTACTCACATGTGGCCTGGCCAATTTCTGTGGAATATAATTATGTACAAACAGAATTATTTTAATAATTATTTATTGGGACCTTTGTGGGCCCATTAGAATCAGATGAAGATGTAGCATCACTTTCTTTTGCTTCTCTATTCTGTTTGACCCTGCTTAGTAATTTTTATTTAACAAAATTCAATTAAAATGATCGAACAAATTCTAGTGAATCATGCTATTTGGACAAATTAGGTTGACAAATTTAGTTTACAAACTATGCATTGAGAATATTTAGGTCAATCATTTTAAAAATAGTTTTTGAAATTAATAAAAATCAATGACATAAATCTTATGTACACTTAATTTGTAAACAAACTTTGTAAATAAAGTTTGTACAACTAGATTAATTCAATTACCATTGACTTTTAGAATGTTTCAACATAGGTAGATTTAGGAGTGGTAATGGATCGAGTTGAGCCTGCTCGACCCTTAAACACTCGAGATTGGCTCGTGTTCACAAACAAGTCTCAACTCGACTCTTTGGGTCATTTTTATATATTTTTTTAAAAAATAATAGAATAAGAAAAAAAACTAGTCGGCTCGTGGGTTGACGATCGACTCAATCCATTTGTGAACCTTTATATAGATTAGATCTATTTTTCATCAAATATCTAATTCGTACATGAGTTTCATACATGAGTAGCTAAGAACTGAAATCACAAAAATTTATTTCGAAATCATGTTATATCACGTAGGGTGTGTTTGGCATAATGCATTTTAGGTCAATTTCTTCTAAAAATTCTTTTAACCAAACAAACACTTCCAGAAAATTATCCAAACATGTTTAAAAACAACGTTTTAGTCCCGAAAACAATTATTAACTTTTCAAAGTCATGCAAGCATGCCCATAATATAGAAGCCTAAGAGAAATTGTCGCAATAAATGACCAACATAGAGCAAGTAGTGATTTCTCAAATCAATTAATCTTGTATTTGTTTTACTTGTGACTTTATCAAAAATGCTATTTTTAATAATGAAGCTACGAAGATTAAGTATAGACCGAAAATGAGATATTTAATACATTTGATTGTCATCGTATTTAGTCCTATCCAATTCAACATATCAACTACGTTCTGAGTGACGCTACAATATATAAAATACCCACTTTATTGTCTAATATGTAATATAATTAAGTAATAATATACCTAGACTTAAAAAAGTACAAGGAGGACTTTGGCTTATGATTTGATAATGGCCCCCCTCATTAACTTCTCATCTGTTAAGGGATAGAATTTCATATCGAATAAAGATGAAAACATAGATAAATTTATAAGAGTTTTTGTTACTCCTCTTAATAAGGTTGACCTTTTAAGATGGAACCTCATTCCTTAACATGGTATCAGAGTCCATTAATCTCTAACGAGCAATTCGATCTGATTAAGACTCCAAAAGTAAGTGTACGGATTTCAAGATTGGTCTGCTCAAACGAGCCACCATCTTGCGAGGGCATGTTAGGGGATAGAATCTCGCATCAAATAAAAATGAAAACATAGACCACTTTATAAGAGTTTTGACTACTCTTCTTAATAAGGTTGACATTTTAAGATGTAACCTCAAATCTTAACACCATCTTTTATCACATTGACTTTTCTCAAGTCATGGGTAGTTTCTTCTATTTAAGCCCCTCCATCCCGCTTGTTTTCTACTCAATTCACATTCAACTGTCTTCTTTTTTCTCTTACACAATTCCTCAAACTTTCAGAAAAACCTCTGTGAAAACAACAAACCCAGAATTCTTGTACCAAAATCTGCAAATAAAATAAAATGTTTAGTTTTTCAGATACTAGAAGATGTGTTTGGGTTAATGGCCCTGTAATTGTTGGGGCAGGACCTTCAGGTTTGGCTGTGGCAGCTGGCCTTGGAGAACAGGGTGTGCCATTTCTGATTCTTGAAAGAGCTGATTGCATTGCTTCTCTGTGGCAAAAACGTGCTTATGATCGCCTTAAACTTCATCTCCCCAAACAATTCTGCCAATTGCCTAAGTTCCCATTTCCTGATCATTATCCTGAGTATCCCAACAAGAAGCAATTCATTGAATACTTGGAATCATATGCCAGGCATTTTGATATCAACCCACAGTTTAATGAAACTGTGGAGTGTGCTAAGTACGATGAGGCTTGTAAATTGTGGAGAGTTAAGACTGTTTCTCCAAGTGGGTGTGAGGTTGAGTACATTTGCCAATGGCTGGTGGTGGCAACTGGGGAGAATGCCGAACGAGTAGTTCCTGAAATTGAAGGATTGCAGAACTTTGGAGGGGAAGTAATTCATGCCTGTGATTACAAATCTGGTGAAAATTTCAGAGGGAAGAGAGTTGTTGTCGTGGGATGTGGAAATTCAGGCATGGAAGTGTCTCTTGATCTTTGCAACCATGGTGCTAAACCTTCAATCGTTGTTCGAAGCTCGGTGAGTAATTAATATAAACACATAACAGGAACTTCAATTCATCCATTTCCTCTGAGGAAAATTGGATTCTAATGGGGTTTTGGATTGTTTTACAGGTTCATATATTGCCAAGAGAAGTATTTGGGAAATCAACATTTGAACTGGCAATGTTTATGCTAAAATGGCTACCACTTTGGCTTGTTGACAAGATTTTGCTAGTTTTGGCATGGACGATTCTTGGAAACATTGAGAAATGCAGGCTAAAACGCCCGTCTGTCGGTCCATTGGAGTTAAAGAACACACTGGGAAAAACTCCTGTTCTAGACATAGGTGCACTCGGAAAAATCAAATCCAGGGAAATCAAAGTAGTCCCTGGAATCAAGAAGTTCTCAAGTGGAATGGTTGAGTTTGTTAATGGCGAAAAGCTCGAAATTGACGCAGTTGTTATGGCTACTGGATATCGCAGCAATGTTCCATATTGGCTACAGGTGAGAAAAAGTTTCCATTTTTGGATCAGACACACTATGAAAGTTAGTAAATTTTAAGGAATAAGATTCTTGAATAAAAGCCTGATTTGTTTTTTGTTGTTTTAGGAAAGTGAATTCTTCTCCAAGAATGGATTCCCAAAGGCACCATTTCCTAATGGATGGAAAGGAAAAGAAGGATTATATGCAGCCGGATTTACAAGGAGAGGGCTATCTGGTGCATCTGCTGATGCAATGAAAATAGCACAAGACATTGGCAAAGTTTGGAAAGAAGATTTGAATCAGAAAAAACAAAAAGTCCTTACTCATAGAAGAAGCATTTCAACATTTTGATCGGATGAGCCTCGGGATTCTCTGATTATTTCCATTCTTTCTTTCTTTCAGACATCATAGTACAACGGATGAGATTTTAAGTTATTTTCATCCTTAATCTTGCCTGGTGTAGCCAAGTTCGACTACAAATGACGTATACAGAGAAAATCAGATAGCATAAAGATTAGCCCTCTCCAAGGAAGCCCAAATTTTGTGATGTTTTTGGGCATTTTGTATACTAGGATGATGAGGCATTTTCCTTTTCATTTTTACCACAAAACTATATGTAGAGTTGTATCAATTATAATGAAAAAAGGTATTTTTTTCTTCATTTATAAATTTGTCCAATTTCTACTTATAAGCTGTAGTTTCATGTATTTTAACCTATTGTGCATGGAAAAATGCCCATCAAACAACAAAATTCTCTCGTGTAGAACTAGAAAAGTTGTCATTCATCATCTCAATAAAAGAAGGTAAGAGCGGGAGATGAAAATAATCTTTACTTGGTAGTTGTATTTAGTAAACTGATAGCATCTCCACATCACGAAGGTTCGACAGTAGTATGACAATGTTGCTTCTCATTCATTTTTATAAATTTGTTCTCTAGTGTTTAGTGCATACAAGTTCTAATCGTCGTACAATCATTTACGTCAATAATTACTGTAGCAGCCTATATTATTAGATCATATCATTATTTTATTCACCTTTCTACAATTTTTTTTCCAATAAAAAATGAGATGGTCCATCCTTTGATCATCAACTTGCCAGTGAACATCAATCATGATTCATGGATGAATGGGGTTTATAATTAGTGGAGTATTTTGTATTACGTATAAGTCGTAGAATTCAAAAGTCAAAACACATATTAGGAAAAAAAAAAAAAGTTAATGGGCCCAGGTTGGGTTTACAAAAGTTAAACCCGACCGAGGATTCAAATTCAGCAGTTGTTTATTTTTATTTGAAGCCAAGTAGCTATTATTTTATTATAATATAATACAAAAATAAAAATATTGGTAATATGGCTTCGCCCGGGCTCGAACCGGAGACCTTCAGTGTGTTAGACTGACGTGATAACCAACTACACCACGAAACCTGGGTGATATTTTTCGTCGCTTAAACATACATATAAAGAATAAATTCGATATTTAAATTTAAATGGAATTGGGATCAAGTGAAAAATAAAGTTTAGATAAGTTTTTTGTCATCTCTATAGATAGGAAATCTCTGTACTGACTATCATACTGTGCATATGTAATACATTTTCTGTTCTTGATGTTAGTTTGGTCATAATATTGCAATCAATTAACTGATCAGATCATATAAATCATCGATTTATGTCTCTCAAAAATAGTATGCCAACAATATCTATATCCACTTAAATTCATTTAATAGTACCAAGTCATATCATATAAAATGAGGTTTTAGAAAAATGGAGCCAAACAAGAGCTTCATCCTTTATTGTCCATCAAATAATTTGTATTTTAAATCAAAAGTTTATTCAACTAAAATTAAACATCCATAGAACCAAATGCAGCCACACATAAGATCCGTTTGGCAGAATTTCACCTTTTGCTTCTACTCTTGTAGAAGAACTTCTTCTGAAACCTCTTTTAGCTAAACAAAATACTTCAAGAAAATTATCCAAACAGATTCAAAATTAGTTTCGTAGTTTTAGATGTAGCTTTCGACTTTTCAAAAGTCTTCATAGTTATACATTCCTCATTTTTCCTGACAGAATAAAGAAGCTCAAAAACAACCCACATGGTTTCTCCATACTATGTACCAAAATCATAAAAATTTTCTTGTGATTTTTGATGGCCCATCCACATTCTTGAATATTGAACCTCAAGCTTTATTGACTGTAGTTTGACATCTTCATGTATGTCATTGTCTATTTGGGCACATATGCATTATTCTTAACCACAGCTATGGCTCCTTTCTTGTTCAGACATACTTACTATTGTTTGCAGATTGCCACATGGGGTTGGTCATAGGTTACTTTATTAGTCTCATCAAATGCCTCTTTTCCCTCCCAAGTACATTTATAACAAGACAAGAGACTCGGTCTTGCTTTTCATTGGCTATGCCAATATTTTTTCGTCTTTCTTTTCTGTCATGGCTTCAGAATTGATAAGGTGCTTTTCAGCTAACAAGGGCTATGTAGAGTATACCTTTCTTTTGCTTCATCTTAGTTTATGCACGAGCAACTGAGCAAGCATTGATCCTGTCCGTTTGACAGAACTTCTGTTTTTGCCCTTGTTTCTTATAAAAGAGCTCCGTGAAAATGTCATTTTTATTAGTGTTTTGGAACTAATGTTTAAAAGAATTCTCCCTTTCGGAAGAACTTTTAGAAAAAAGTAACATTGAGTCGGATTATTCTAACTTAAAGAAACACTTTTATAAAGTTACCATATGGGTTGAAAAGTAGCTTTCGAATGTATTGTGGCCATGCGCTAGGTGATATCTACAGTATTCGGTTGAAGATGAAGTTACTCTCTTCCTCTTGGCACCAGTTTGAGCCCATATCATGCAGTTCCCACATCCTTATTGTGAGTTCTCCAGTCCATAATTGTTAAGTCGTGATTAGTGAGCTCTCTAAGGATTCTTCAGGTGGCCATTGATGCTTTTTTCATGAGCGAATTTAAGGTCGGATTAAAAAAAATTAAAGTCCGACTAATGTGTAAAAAATATTTAAAAAATTTACATTTATGAAATTGAAATGGGCTGGGGGCTGGTTTCACGGGGCTAGAGTTCTCACACCGGAACAACTAGACACCGTGCGGCCTTAACGCAACACAATTCTCGTCCCTACGAGAAAGCGCTAAGTCAGCCTTTCGACGCCCCCAAAATGATTCAACCTTATAGGCTAAATCAAGACAAACTTTGAGTAGAGTATTTGGAAGTAAAGACAATATCGAGAAACAAGTAAGTTTGGGAGAAAACTTCTCTTTATAAAAACTTCAATCTAGTCTAATGAATTCTCATAAACTCTACATGAGATTCTATCACAATTTCTACATACCTTACAAATGAGACTTCATCTCTATTTATAGGCAAACCTCCTTGGATTCAAGGGCTAAAATCAATCCCCATCCAAGGGTCCCCATTGGTTGAAACTTAACGTAAACCTCCTTAGATCAAGAGAAGCAAACTTGGACTTTGCTTCTTACAAGTAGATTTTCCCTACAAAAATCTCATGGGATTAATGTCCCTTTCATAAACATCAATTTGCCTTTCTCTTTCTTCCTTGGTCTTTCTTAGGCAAGTTGGTTAAGTAAACAACTTGTATAAGTTTGCCCAAAATATCCCAAAATATCCCAACAATCTGCCCATGGTATTTTCCTCCTGAAAACCACCTGGTATGCTGGAATTTATGCCCATGTCACGCCCATGTCGCTGCTTTAGTCATAGGCAGTCTGCAATCTGTGTTGCTGCGCTGCCTGCGTCGTGTCGTGACTGCAGTCTGTATCTGGCCATGTCCTGGCTGCGTCCTGGGTGCTGCCTGCAATCTGTCTGTGACATCCTGGGCACTGCCTGCAATCTGTCTGCGACGTCCTGGACGCTGCCTGCAATATGCCTGTGACATCCTGGGCACTGCCTACAATATTCCTGCGACGTCCTGGACGCTGCCTGCAATATGCCTGTGACGTCCTGGACGCTTCCTGCAATCTGCCTGCGACATCCTGGACACTTCCTGCGACGTCACCTGCGTCGCAGTGCCTGCCTGCACCCGAATTTTCCAGCCATTACCTAGACATGGACCTTCTCCCATGGACACCGGTCATCTCCCTATGAAATTAGGTGACACCGGCATCACCGTGTAAGGTTGAAGCTTAGACCTAATCAACCATAGGTCTACTTCATTTTCCCATTTGGTGCCATGACATTCCCGTGTCAAACCCCATCTCATGTCACTACCTTGCAGTTTGTCATATTGGGCTTCCCTAAATCCTGCTTTTTTCTTAGGAGTACTTACAAAAATACCCTTAAAATTAAAGGTCTTTTGAAAAATCATATGAAATATATTTTAAAAGTAAAAAATATTGTATAAAATTAATTGTCACTTTTTTAATAGAAAAAGTAACACGGAAAAAGTGCCAACTATTACTTTTTAAGGTTAAGTCTTACTCTTTTATTAAAAAATGACATACAATGTTACTTTTATTAAAAAAAATGAAATTTGTCACTAAAAAAGTGATAGAACTTTCAAAGAATTGACAAAAAAAGTAACAACCATTAAAAAGGTGATAAAAATTTAATAAAAAGTAACAAACACTAAAAAAGTAACATAAATTCAAAAAAAAAAGACAAATTGGCAATTTTCATATTGGTGTAACACAATTGAGTTATTATTTGCCCAGTTGAGACATGACAAAATAACTTGTCACGTTTCTAAATTCCAAGTTTAATATCTCTGTAGCACTTCCAAAACATTTCACTTTCTTCATGAACCTCAACAGATTTATTGCTGAAAATAAATATAAAAAAGTGACAAATCGATGAATAAAATTGAGTTAGAATCAACAAGTACTGGTAGATTCAAAGACGAGTCGAATAATAAAGTGTAAGAATTTTAATTGATGATTTAGGATAGAAAATAGAATTAATTTATTAAAAATATTGGGAATTAGAAATAAGATATTATTAAGTTCAAGAAGATAGAGGAAAGAAATAATCATTCAGAGCAACAACATTGCTTTCCAACTTCTACTAACAGGACTGTAACTTCCACGCTAAAATTCCTTCTATTACTTTTGTTTACATAAAGCAAAAGGCAACTTGGAAGCCATGAAAATTTTTAAAAGGCATAACATCACATACGAAATATCAAAATTAGAAAGTCAATTTCCTAGCAAGGAACTAAGAAAGATAAGGAATCTTCATAATCATATCGATGTTTCCTTCTGGAGCATATATCTCCAATTCCAATTGCCCCTTTTTAAGAAAGATACAGGAAATCGAGCTTGGTGAGTTATCGAAGGAGAAGGTGGGGGTGTCTTCATAATAATGCCGGTGTTTCT